GACTTTGTAGGGTGTCAACCTTAAGGAAGAAAAAAGATTTAGGTGAGAACTCTTCTGGAAAAGGGTAAAATAGGCAAAAGAACCGTTAGGGGTTATTTTGGCTGACGTGGGCGTTTGAACCGGCCATGTCATTGTTTTCAACCTCTGTATGAAGAGAAGACGTGGGTGGACAATGGATGTCTCCCACTACAACTCTGAAACTTACCTTCTTCTAACTCGTACAGTGGATGTCTCTCCCTTATTTCTTCTACAAACTTGTAGAGGGTATGCCAATGAAGAGGTAGGGACTGGTCTCGTGAAATTTAGTTCACCGTGGACAAAGTTACAGGCCGTGGAATGAATGCCCTTTGGAAACCAGCCTCGCCGCTAGAGCAAACTCGTGGCTACCCTTCCTTGGTTCAAGTGGTTCCAGAGCTCATTGGCCTTCGCTTTCTTCAGCAAGATTCTTCCCTTTCTTCCTCTCAATATGTTAGAGTAAACCTTAGGGAACGAATTTTGCTCATTCTCTCCAATTTGATGGTCAATCCCCTCAGGTTCTTGGGTCTTCTTCTCACAAAGTCACCATGAAGCTATCAGAATTGGTTTGAATAATAAACATTGAGTGTAGAGGGAGAATTTTGGATACTCCCCAAATTGGCTAAAAACTTCCCCTGAATATGGCTCAAATTTGTGTATGGCTCAAATTGATTTTCAAAATTTCCCCTGAATATGTCTTCCAAGAACTCGAGTTGAGGGAATGGTTTCCAGCCACTTTCATCCTTCACGGCCTTCAGGAAACTTGTTGGAAATCTTGTTATGAACGTGTAGGAATTGGTTTGAGCTAGGTTGGTTGAGTGTAGCTCTCCAATTAATAGCCAAATCCGGGAGCAGAATACCCAAAAAGTAAAAGCTTGTAACTTGTGTTTGGGTGATCCTCACTCCGATTTCTTGTTCCAAACCAAAGCCCCAAATCTCCTATTTTAGGCCCTTATCGGCATTATCTTGCAATTTCACCATTGGATGTCTATGTGGCAGAGCCTCATACGTCATATCAAATTTTCAGCCTATGTGGACAGTTAGATTTCCATAAATTAACGAAAATCTCGGGCAAGACAAATACGCCTGACTATCAAAGTTTCAGGCTAGTTTTCCAAATTTCAGGTCTTTAGGCTATTTCCGTTAAGATCAATAGGGCTATTTTTCAAAAGTTTCTTTTTGCGAATATATATTTTTTTTCCCTAAAAAATTCTTACCTTATTTTGGGCATTTTTCCTTCTTGGCCCCCTTAAGATTCGTCCTCTATAAAATTAAAAATCCCACAAATCTTGATCCCACCTATGGGACGCTACATAAATTAAAAGTTTAGGGACCTTTTCAGATACGAACTTGAAAGTTCATAAACTAAAACTTATAATTTAACTTTTGTTTATTCAATTTTTTTTTCTTTTAATGTGACAAATTTTTTGACGTACAGAACTGTTTGTTGGTATTTTGAATTCAGGGAAATGTGGGAGAAGTCAATGGATGGCCTTTCAAGCTTGATTAGGAGGTCTACACCGTCATCTTTCACTTATATTTGTGAGAAGAGTGGAGATTCCCTAATTGACAAGGTAAGATCTCAGCTAAGTTCTCTCTCGATTATCTTAAGCAGATCAAATATTATGAATTTTTTTGCCCCAATCTGTATGTGATTTGCAGATGGATGAACTAGCATGCTTTGCTCCAGGAATGATAGCTTTGGGATCATCTGGTTATGATTCCGAGGATTCTAAGAAGTATTTAATGCTTGCAGAAGAGGTAAAAAGTTCTTATATTTTCCTCTGGCTTCGCTCCTAATTGTTTGGCATAGACTAACTTAATTCAGTTTCTAATGAATATATTTTTCACTCCAGCCCTATTATTGCATAGGCGATTTATGAACGTTCTCTGTTGGTTTACCGGTTTGAAGTTGGATCTTGAATTGTAGTAATTCTTCCTTTGATTTATTTTTGGTCTAGCTTGCTTGGACTTGCTATAACTTCTACCAGTCCACCCCTACAAAGTTGGCTGGGGAGAACTATTTCTTCCATCCCGGAGAGGTCTGAATCATTCATCTGCTAATCTCTCACCAGTTTCGTTTAGTACTGTGGTTTAATGTCGATTAGTCTATGGAAATTTTAGGATATGAGCGTCGGTACGTCTTGGAATATATTGAGACCAGAGACTGTCGAATCATTATTTTACCTCTGGCGCCTGACTGGCAACAAGACATACAAAGAGTGGGGCTGGAATATATTTCAAGCATTCGAAAAGAATTCTCGGGTTGAATCAGGTTATGTCGGGCTGAGAGACGTGAGCACTCTTCAAACTCCAAACATATCTGTATTGCCTTTAAATCATTGATCTGTATGAGTTTCCAATGGTGTGGTGCGTCTGTGACTGGAATTTTCAGGTCAAGACAGGTGATAAGGACAACATGATGCAGAGTTTCTTCCTTGCTGAGACTCTGAAATATCTCTATCTTCTCTTTTCACCACCTTCAGTCATTCCTCTTGATGAATGGGTGTTCAACACAGAAGCTCACCCTCTACGAATTGTTACTCGGAATGAGGGAGGTGACCTTGTAAGGTCAGACGAGAAAAGCAAGCCATCGATAAGGTTGCGTGGTAGGAAGGAAGGTCGATCCAAATGAACATGCCATTTTATTGCATTCTAATTCTTGGTAGAGTTGATTTATAGCTGAAAACATCAAGCATCCTATATTATAGTGTCATTGCGATAAGAGGGCAGCTGTTGCTTCTGGGAATAATGCAGCTCCCATATGTTTATCAGAATTTGCATGTAAGAAACAATACTTCATAGATAAATCTTGATAAGGGTTTTGTTTTTTGGCCTCCAAAGATATTTATTTGTTTAACTTGCTTCATCATCCGTAGGTAAGCAATGATATGAGATTTTTGCATATTTGAACGAATTAAAGCTCTTTCTCCTATTTGGATTCCATTTTCAAACAGTTGATATGGTGGAGGGCACCTGTATATGTAGTGTCCAATAGAAACCAGCTCTGTAATGATCCAACAGTGCCACATTAAAGTAATAAAGTGCTGTGACGTAAAGCACTTGCGTGGAGAATTGCAACAAACCTAATCAAATCAAAAAGCATATTTAGAGGACAACTTGACAGTGATTGTGCACCATTTATTCCAAGTTAGTCGTATGAAATTTGCACTTTGCGAATACTATTGACGTATTCTCGAATCACATGTTATAAGTTAATATTGGTTAGATAACTATAGTTTTGATAGCATATAACTCGGGAAAGAAGAACTAACAATTAGTCATATCTTCTTATAGTGCATTTTGGGGCATTTTAACCTTGACAGGTGTAGACATGATTTTGGTGAACGGATATAATAATGATAAAGGTCTTATCTAATATGAAAGCAAGTAAAAGGGGTTTGGAACGAGCATGCGCCCATGGACAACACATCTTAGACAAACATAACCAGGGCATTCGCCATAGGCAACAGCCTTAGATACTCGACTATATTGGCTAACAATGTACTATGAAGAAAAAAATGGTTTGTATAAGAGTTATGTAGATAAATGACTATTTGAGGGAAAACTTGAAGGTACTTTCTTTGAGAGAAGGATTGTCGAAATCCCAACTAAAGTCTCATGTTGTCGTTAAGGAGAAGATAACTGGTATATAAAGGAGTGACAGTTTTTCTATGGGTATGAGATATTTTTTGTGGAATTAATAGAAAAACCACCAAGATTTATGCCTAAAGGTAGACAATATGGAGAAGTCATGTTCTCGAATAAGGTTGTTGATAGAATCTTTTGACGTTAGTTATGATGGAGAATCGTAGTTGAACTCTATCATGTTGACTATATGCTTTTGAAAAAAAAGGAGTCGACTTAAAAATAGTAGATAGATAGACTAATATTTAAAGGAGATTTAGTCGTTACATACTGTGTGGTTGTAGAGGTGCATTGACTGTATGTTACAAGGTCAAACAATGAAGTTCGTTTATGTTCGAGCGATATCTCATGATTACTATAATTTAATCTCCATTAAATTATGGTTTGATCAGTAGAAAATGGATTCTTGATGAGGCATATATACCAACAATTTTGTGAAAGGTAAAAAAAAAAAGATTAATTAAAAAAAAAAAAACTTACATAAAGAGCAACAAATAAATTCATCCACGTGAGTTGATACAATAATATAATATTTATTTAGGGTTAAATTAATAAAAATACACCTATATCTTATAATTGGTCTAAAAAAAACCTTAACAATAATATTTTAAACTTAAAAAAATTAAAAAAAATATTATTACCATTAATTTTTTTTTATAGAAACTATTAATATTTTACTTAAAAAAAACGCTAACATGTAACTTTATAAGATTTTATTAATATCTTTTTAATTTTTTTAAAAAAATTAAAAAATACTTATACCATTCATACTACTGGTTTAAAAAATAGATACCCTTAACATTTATTAAAAAAAAAAGAGGGTTTACTGTCAATATATAAACCGTCTATCTACACCTCATAAATTATCTCCAATTAAAAAAAAAAATTAAAAAATTTATGAGTATTAATATTGTTACTTTTAAAAATGGAGTATTTTTTAAACCAAAAAAGTTTAAAAGATATTTTGGAAGTTTTTAAAATAAATTTTGAAGTGTTTTTGAATTTTCTTTAAAAAATTGTATTGATGTTATTAAAAAAAAAAAGTTTAAAAGTGTTTTTTTATATATATTTAAGAATATTCAATTTTTATATTTTTTTTAATTTAAATAATATTTTTGAAACCTGAAAAAAAAAAGAAATATATATTTGAAATGAAATAGTAATAATTTGTATTTAAAATCATCGGTAAAGTTTTACGGGTATTTTTTAAATTCTTAAAATTGAAATGTATTTTTTAAATAAAATAATTTATTTTATTAATTTAGAATAGTTTATTATGCTCCCGAAAATATATATATATATATATATATATATAAGATTACAATGGTACACTAGCATCGTATCTTCAAGTTCGTAGCAATTGCTGCGAATTTATGTAAATTTCTGGCCCTCGATATCGCGTTCGCAACTGTTCTTCAAATAACCCGCCGGCACGCGGCGTCTTCTCTGCGTGTTCGATTGAATGGTCTCATTGCTTTTCAGAGAACATGATTTGGTATGCTCTAATGGTGGATTCGTGATTATACACAAGCAGGACAAATCAAAAGCGGCCCTTGCACATTCGTTTTGATGCGAACATCCTACTTCTTGCAACGTTTCGCTCTCCACCACTCTCACCGTTCTTCTTCCTTCTCATTCCGTTCTATCTGCAATTCCTCGCCGTTTTCCTCATTTGATTCCGGCACCCCACAGCATCACCAGCAGCAACAGCAGCAACAGCAAGAATGTGACGGTCACGGCACCCCTCAAATTGGAACCCATTTTCTGTTGCGACCACTTCCATCTGCTACCAGTTGTTCGAGACGGTCCGTTTTATTGGGCTTGAATTCCTTGGACTCTAATCGTGGTCGTCCTCTTCTTAACCATCATTACGCTTTCCATCGCGGTATGTTCCTTTCCGTATTCGCGTTTCTCTTTTGGCTTTAATTTCTTTATTCTTTCTGCTCAGAAAGGAGATATTCTTTAATCTTATGCTTAAATTTAATCGCGGTTTCAAAACTGGTTTATAACTTTTGCAGGATTTTTCACTAGAGCTAAGCCCGTTCAGAGAATTGAATTCAATGATTATCATAGGTAATGGATCATTTCCTTGCACGGTTCCCATGAACGTTCTGTAGTTATGAAATTCATACTCATTAGTTTTGTATTAATGAATATAAAGGCGAGCAGTTGCTGTTTCACTCCTGTGCACGATCAGATCGTAGCATTTTCGGTTCCGAAGTTCTGAATTAGTATTATATTGTCACTACACCAAAAAGTTAGAACGATTTATTAAGGGAAATGTAATTTATTTAGATTATTCTTTAAGACTCAACACTTAAACACTCAAAAACTAAATCCGAGTGTAGCTCAGATTCATAAAATCCAACATATAAACTCTTGTAAGTAACATTGCAGAAATGTCCATTTAAGTTGTTAGATTGGGATGAATACTATTTTTTCTATTTATTTTTAAACTTATAGGATCAAATAGGTAGCACTGAATGTAAATGCGTGTAGTTTTGGCGACTTCAATCCTTATAATGAAGGCTCATGAAAAACGCAATTAACTGATAATTACTCAAGATTACTTTATCATCACTGATACTAAGTTTTCTTCACATAGCCCATAGCAGAAATTAATTTCTCCTTATTCTTTTATTTTTATCCTAGTCAACGAGCGGTTACCACTGCTTTATGGTGCAATTTCCTTGTCTTCTCTCTGAAATTTGGGGTTTGGTTTTCCACATCAAGCCATGTCATGTTGGCAGAAGTTGTGCACTCTGTTGCCGATTTTGCAAATCAGGTATCCTAGTCATTGATCGAGCAAAGTATCCCTATCCATGCCTAATTTTAAGTTAATTTATCAATCACTGAATGTAGAGGAACTAATTATTCTTAACATTGTAGGCGCTTCTTGCTTATGGTCTGAGTAGCTCAAGGCGTGCCCCTGATGCAATCCATCCGTGAGTTATAAATATCTTCGGCTGTTTAGTATTATTCTGTTTGTAGTATATATTTTCCAACTTCAATAGCAATACTGCGTCCTACTTTATATGAGAAAATGTATTAATTTATTTTATTAAAGCCTTCTTTTGCCCCCCATACCGTAAGGATTAAAATTTTTCACCTCTCTCAAAGTCAGTTTTGGCTCCGAGCTGAGCTGTGGAATAAAAATGGTATGGTTTATTATAATTATATTTTCAAAATGCAGCGTTGTGGATTTATATTTTTACTAGATGGAGTAACTCCCTCCGTGAAGAATGATAGTTTGCGGCTGTTAATGTTGTGTTTTCATATGGTCACAAATTCATGGACACGTCTGATATACCTTCACTGTTGAACAGTTATGGATATTCTAAGGAAAGATTTGTTTGGTCATTGATATCTGCTGTTGGGATCTTTTGTCTTGGTTCGGGTGCTACCATTGTTAATGGAATTCAAAATTTATGGACTTCACAGGTACTTGATCAATTGAAATTTGAATCATGCTTCAAATGTTACCGTTCTCAAATTTTCTCCTTCCTATTTAATACTTAGCTCTTTCTTTGTTAGCGGCAGCTCTGCATGTTATCTTTTTATTTTGTTTGCTTCAGCCTCCTGCCAATATTCATTATGCAGCTTTAGTGATTGGTGGTTCGCTTATTATCGAAGGTTTTATTTTATCCTTCTTTTAATGAAAGTCCATAGATGTTCCTTCAAATATAGTTAGATATGTTCTAATTCGATTTTACTGCTCAATAATTTTATCTGCTTAGGTGCTTCCCTGGTTGTTGCCATACAAGCTGTCAAGAAAGGTGCTGCTGCAGAGGGAATGAAACTGAGAGACTATGTGTGGCGTGGTCACGATCCCACATCTGTAGCAGTTATGACAGAGGTAGTCATAGATTGACGAAAATGATTCCTAAATGTTAAATTACTCGTGGTAAAAATCCTTACGATTATTAAATTTATGAAGCACATGTTGGAACTACCTGAGCTTGTTTCTCTTGAGCAAGCATGCCTTCGAAAAATTGATTTAGTATTCTTTCTGTCATTTAGGCAATCCTGGTTATATATTTTGGTGATTAAATATAACTTTCTTGATGCTAGATTTAACTTATCTTATTTTGCTATTGTATAGTTGAAAGGGTTGAATTGCTATGAAATTTTAGTTTTTGGTTGTTTTTTTTTTTTTTTAACCTTTGAGGACTTCTGATGTTTTTCAATAAAGTAAATTAATTCATGAAACTACAGAATAGTACAATATGATGCCAAATTTATCAAATGTTAGAGATTCCATTGATCCAGTTTTCTGGTATGTTCAGGATGGTGCTGCAGTCACTGGTCTTATTATTGCTGCTGCATCTCTTGTTGCAGTAAATACCACTGGGAATGCAATTTATGATCCCATTGGTTCCATTGTAGTTGGTAACTTGCTTGGAATGGTATGTTTTTTGCTTGAACTCGGAGCAAATAATATTTTTCTCCTCATTTGTTTATTGAAAGTGACATTTCACAGTGGTTATTTATATTTGAAATATTCTGACATCCTGAATTAGACTACATAATGCCCCTTGAATTTCCCTTTGAAACTTGGAGGCTTGTTTTCCAAGTGTAATGAATTAATTTTATTTGGAAAGGAGGCTTATTTGTTATTCTATTTTGATATGTTCTTTAAATTTGTCATGTAAGCAAACCAGACATATAGGCTAGTTTTATTTTGTTACATAAATACACAAGCTTCAAATTTTAGTCCCTGAAAACTTGAAACATGCATGACATGGACTGATTGTATTTGATAAAAGTAAATTCAATATTTTCATACATACTAGGTGTACTCAAGGATGTCGACACCTGCTTACTCTGACATAGTTGTGCTATATAATCTTTACTATCATGCTAAGAATATACAAAGTTTCCATCAGAAGATGCTATTCGATGGAGGACATATAAATGATCTAATGAAAAGAAAGTTTCATTGATAAACTGCACAAGGGCATACAAAATATCAACTCCAGAAAAGGAGACCAAATCCAGCTAGCTTTTGGCATCACAAGGATAGCCATAACCAAAGTCTGTTCGACATGTTCTCTAATATAAATCAGTGATAATGAAGTGAGGTAGAAGAAACAGCTTGTAGAACAAAGCCAGGATGTTGGTGGAGTTGCAAAGTAGACGTAGCACGTAGTAGATTAGAAACCACTGACATACCGTTATTTTCTCTGCATTTTGCAATTTCAACGAGCACAAGGATACTAAGAAAGGGCTGAGATACAAATGTGTACATGAATAATAAACAATACATCAGTCTAAAAGTTATTAATTTTATTTTGCAGGTGGCCATATTCCTCATCCAGCGTAATCGGCATGCTTTGATCGGTAGAGCAATGGATGAAAATGATATGCAGAAAGTTCTCCAATTCTTGAAGAACGATCCAGTATAATTGTGCTTGATAAATTTTTCTTGAATCCCTACTTCAATATTATACAAAATGAGTTCAAATTTTGAAATCTTCTTATCTAGGTTGTTGATGCTTTATATGATTGCAAAAGTGAGGTAATAGGACCAGGATTTTACAGATTCAAGGCAGAAATAGGTGATTTTTTCTTTTTTACTTATTTTCTTCCCAATACTTTATGATGCTGTTAGATTCTCTAATCTTCAGGTTCATTCATAAAATGTAGTCAACTTGCCTGGTGAATCAACTGTGGGCGACTTGGTAGCTTTTAATGATTTATCAAATATTTTATGCCTATGAATTTCCTTGCATCTGTATGTTTTCATGTGTTATATGGTTTGAGGCTCTTGACATCCTGCATCAACTGATAATTGCTTCCTAGCTGCAACATAATATCGTTGTGTTATCACTTCTGTTGTTCAAAGGGTCAGCATTTACAGGCAATAATCAGTTGCAAACACGAGACAACCTTTTTTGTCGAATTCTAAATGATTGATTTGATCTAAATCACAATTGTCCAGTATATTTTTCAATATGTTGAAACCTTGTTATGTCAGTTTTATATTCAATAATTTTATATTTCTGGTGGTTTATGAAATTATCGTATCGTATCATCAATATATTTTGATTTTAACGAGCTGTATGAAGCAGATTTCAATGGAGTCGCAGTGGTGCAAAATTATCTAAATAGGACTGGACGAGAAGAGTGGGCTAAAGAGGTTTGTACTCTATCTTCAGCGTGCTTACTACTGTTGGTTTCTGTTTGATTTGTTCTTTTAAACTCAATCATTGTTTAGGAAAATATTACATTATGTTTTCCAACTGTCATTTTTTTGTCAAAAAACTATAGTTTGGACTCTGCTTAGTCATGTTGCATCGACTCATCAGCGACATTTCTTTTAAGTTAATTCGAACGCATGTCAATGTTTGGATGAGATAAGCGAGTAAAGAGAAAAGGGGATCGTGAGCTCGCATTTCGTTCATCTATTTTAATTGTTCTACATTCTGTAAGCACCCATGTCCGGTGGTAGTTTGCTCAAGACACAGTCTGAACTGTATCCATATATTTTACAGTTTCGACAAGCTGCGAAGGACCAGAACGATTCAGCTTTGCTCAAAATGATGTCGAACTACGGTACATGGAAGGAGCATTGAACATTGAACAGAATTGAGATGTCGTTGACATGTTTGGCTAACAAATTGTTGTTGCAGGTGAAGAAGTGGTTACTGCTTTAGGAAGTGAAGTGGATAGGCTTGAGAAAGAGATTCAGATGCTGGTTCCTGGCATTCGGCATGTTGATATCGAGGCCCATAATCCTACTGGGCCATCTGCATGAATCACAGGCAAGATTTTTTTTACTACGATTTGTCAGAATTATTGCTTTTGATCGATCCTTAGTGAAGGCTTAAGCCTTGCCTTGCCTATTAATTTTTTTCGCGTGTACTACTTAAAGAGAGTTTCCACGGACTGAAAGAGCTAAAACCGTTGCCTGAAACTGTCACTACTTGGAAGCTCGTAGGAAACTCATTCATTTATTATGTATCGGTGAACGGCGTATACTTTAGTCTCGGTGGTTGAGATGGTTTCGTTTCGAAATTGTTATTTTGAGCCTAATTCAAAGCTTTCTTTTTTTTTTCTCTCGTTTAGTAGTAAGACTATGGCTATGGCATAATAGATCCGAACACTTGCCCCGGATCCACTTCCCGATTATAATTGCTCTAGTGAATAACTAAAACCAAAATGGGAGATAGCAGAGAAAGAAACAAACTATCAAAATCTCTCATAGGTTCACTAATTACTTTACTGTTGGCGGGTCACTTTGTATGTGTTGTCCGGAAAGAGGAGGACTCCATGAGCGTGAGTAATTATTCACGGAAAAATGCTAATTTTACCATTTAAGACATTAGAAAAAAAAAAAAAAAACTATGTTATAGTTAATATTTACTATAAATTGTTACTACAAGTGTTATGCAAAAGAAAGAACCTGATTTTACTATTAGGTGAAATGCAAAAGAAAGAAAAGATTTACTTTTGTGTAAAAGACTTTCTCATGCCAGAACAAGAAAACACTTATTTGACCATTTAGGACATTAGGTAAAAAAATGTTGAGTTATTTTTCTTTTACCATTATTATTATTATTATTATTACTATTTTTTTTTTCTTCAAAAAGATTCCACGGGTGACTTGACTCATTTCTCAAGAATTCTACCACGAAATATCGTTTTCCGTTCTAGCCTCTTACTATTTAGTTAGAGGTTATGCTCAAACTAAACTAGACGGTTTAATATTGTATACTAAGAAAATACTAATTTGACCATTTAGAGCCTATTGTGAAAATTTTGAATTATTGGTTAATATTTTTCAAATTTATGGCTAGGAAGGTTAAAATTTGATGAAATTGAGACATGTGCATTGAAAATCATGTCCCAATTGGTTTTGTTTTCTGGGGTCATTTCGGTCATTTTTCAAAGGGGTCCAATTGGGACTCTATTCATTTGTAGACGTCATTTTCTTGTTTAGAAAAACTTTGTTCTTACGTTTTAGCCCGTTGTTATACCAGCGAGAGGTGTACTAAGACTAAAATACTAAACAAATAAAACATTTAGCCTTGTATTAAAGACCCTACTATGAGAAAACCCTAATTTGACTGAATACGACTAAATTTTTTTAAATCATTTAGATTTTAGGCTTAGTACAAATTATAAAATTTAAATTACGAAATTAAAATTGGACTTTTTTATTTTCAAGGATACTCAGAGCATGAGAAATTTCGCCATGAAAATAACTCAAAAATAAAACCTAAGCGCTTAAATTAAAAAAATATATATATATTTCAAGAAAGAGTGTGGTGCCCTAGCACACTACGAACACGATTAAGAGCCTACAAGTAGACTACATAGTGAGTCTTTGTACTCATTCAAGTTTCTCAATTTTTTTTTGTCAGATGACAAGAAGGAGGTAGTAGATGATAGAAGCAGATCTGGAGCAAGTGTCATAGACGGCGAAAATGTATTCAACTTCTCAAACTCTATTTTAGATTTTAAAGATGTGAAATTTTTTACCATATCTTTCCATATTTTCAAATTCTTAATAAGTCATGGCTCGTGAAAATCGAGCGGTGATAGAATGTCTTTGTTTCATTTTAGAAACACGAACCTAGTTCAACCATAGACAACTTAGTTTATAGTATCATACTAAAAGGTGTCTATTTTAACCGGCATAGTTGGAACTTTGAGAGAACCTATCCCAAACGTGCCAATGAATGAGGGAGAATTTAAGAAAAGATTTGTCCTCATTAGTTAAATAGGACTAAAGTCGATGATTATATTCATCGTCTCTGTCCCACTTAGTTCCATCTACATTTTTTATATATATAATAAACAACTTATTATTGTTAAGAATGAGGGATAGAATTGAGATTGAGAATGCTTGCAATCTCATTAATATTGACAACTTTTAAACTGGATACAAGCTACCCTCCAATATGAGAAAAATATACTATTAATCAAATTATAAATATAAAGAAAAAAAAAATACGTATATTCTATAACTAATTATTATAATATATTCTCGAAATATTATATTTTAATTATTATCCACCGTTTCTATAAAGACAAAAAAACGACAATTTGATATAAGTGGACTTGGAGTCTTGCTACGTGTCATTATTTGAGCGCCAGCTGTGTCGACTGAATTAAGTACCCAGTGGGCCACCACACTCCGGCCGTACGGCAATCACGCCCGGATTTGGTCTTTCCATTCTATTCTTCCCTTGGATTCCATTTTAATTTAAATTGACATTAATTTATATATTTTAATATTAAATCGATTAAACAACACGTCCAAACTTTTAATCTTATATTAAACTGGACGTTAATTTTTGTAATTTCTAATAAATAAAAAAAAAACAAATAAATAGTTATTTTTTTAAAAATATTTAAAAGTTTAATTTATGTAAATAAATATTTGGGGACATTAAGGTTATTTAATTAAAATTCAACAAGGTTAGTTGGGATATGGGACGCGCTTTGAGAAGGTGCAAGCACGATGCGCGCTCTTTTTCTGTTTGCCGCCAACTGTCACATTTAAATCCCCAGATTTTAACTACTTAATTTAAATATGTACTTTTAAATAATTTAAATTTTATTTTCAATAATTATTGAAAAATAATTAATTTATTTTCAATATTTGAATCAAAACTAATTTTAAAATATTATATTTTTACTATTAATACTATTTTTGGTAATTGATGTTGACTATTTCTAATTTTGTAATTAATTTAAAATTTAGATTAATTAATAAATGGAAAGTGAGCGGGAAATATGCAAAATTTTAGAAAATAAAAAATATAAAAATTGAAAGAAAAATATAAAAATTTAAAAACAGAATTAAAACATGAGAAAAGAATAAATAAAAATTATATAAAAAAAAGAAAAAACACTAAATGTATTTTTTTTGAAAGTCTTACACGAAGTTTCGACGAAGTTTCTCTCTATTAGGATTAAACAACGAAGGGACAGTTACAGATCAGTGTAGTGCTCATCCAGCGCAGAGCTTCAATGAATCGCCCATCCATGGCGATCTTCTGCCGTGTCTTTTCCTCGTTTGAGCTTCTTTAGAGCTTTGTTTTCGAGATCAATGGATTCCTCATCTCTCAGTTACAGACACGGAACAGCCACATCGCCAATTTGGCCGTCATTGCCTTCTGCGGATGCGCGGATTCAGTTTCGAGCAGCAGCACTGGTACCGTTTCGCTTCTCTGTAGCTTCCTAAATTTGGTATGTGTTCGCTCCTTTTTTTTCTACTTCAAAATCCCCCAATTTCATCGCTCTTCCAGGAATATCGTAACTGTCTCCACCGTCTCCACCAGAATTAGCATCGTTAATTTGGCTGTTTTTCTTTATTATTCAAGTTCATCGCGTGTTTTCGATTTCTGGACCTTTTTTTTTTCGAGTCTGAATGATTCTTGTTTTCGTCTACGGCGAGATGGCTCAGCAGGTATAAGCGTCGGTTGATTGTGTGTATGATCTTTGTTGCGACATATTTTAACTTGAACTGAGCCAAACATGACGTCTCGTGGTTCATCGGCTTCGGGCAATGGCCTATTTCCGCTCAACGCTTCCACGTCCGGCCGGCAAGACGATGTTGAGGCTGGGCTCTCCTCCGGCAAAAGCATTAACAAGGAGGAGGAAGAAGAGGTTTCCGATCCTTTTGATGTCGACAATACCAAAAATGTCCCGCTCGAGATACTCAAGCGATGGAGGGTAATGATCTTTTCCATTTTTTTTTTTATATTATCATTTACTATCCAAGAAAATGAAAAAAGGAAAAAAAAAGAAAAAATTATAAACTTATTTAAATGATAAATTGGGTTGAGCATAATACCTAAACTTATTATAGGTTGGGCTTAACTATCGAATTTATTATGGGTTGAACATAATACCTAAACTTATTATAGGCTGCGCTTAACTATCGAATTAATTATTATTTTTAGAAAATATTGATACATTTATTACTATTTTTAAAAAAATATTGATACAATTATATATACAAATATTTATTTTATTATTTGAAAAGTAATTTTTAAAAATATTTTAAAATTGAAAAGAATTGAATTAGGTTTAGGGGTTTAGGGTTTAGGGATTAGGATTGGATTTTGGATTAAAATTGTTAGTATGATTATCATTTACCCCTATAATAAAATTATAAGTTGATAGATGGTGACAAATAAAAAGCAGAGTATAAAAGTATGTGTCAAAAAAAAATTATAAAATGTTATTTTCATTTCATCGAATAAAATGATTTTTTGTTATTTATTTATGAGTATAAAATGATTAATATATGATTTTTTGATAAACTCTATACCTATACAATAAATTTAACAAAGAATTTATTTCTCTTATTTTCAAGATTTTTTACTTTTATATATTTCTCCATGGGTTATGGGCTGGTCAAACCCATATACTAGTTTGATCTAAAATTTTATTTATTATTTATTTATTTGTTAAATTTTAGTATATTAACGTTAATTTACAACTAAATAAAATAACCAACCATTTAGACTTGTAGAGATAGTGAATTGGATTATAATTTTGGTTGGGTTCTTTTTAGTTTGTCACTTTAAAATTTCTTGTATGAGTTATTATAAAATCAGTTGATTATGTTTTTAGGAAGAGATGAGAGAACAATGAAAGAGCTATGAGCAGTTGAAATATGATGCACAAAAAAATTTCAACCATTCATTGAAAACTAAGGTTATGATTTTGATTTGGGCGAGCAAGGATTTGAATACAACGGAAGTCAAGGTTTTGATTCTAGCGACTTCATGGAAGAATTCGTTTTGACCTAAAATCTATCTCAATATTTTGATTATGGTTCATGATTTCATAGATTTGTACAAGAAGTAGTGGGCAAAAGAAATAAATATCTTTTCATTCATGGAAGTTTTTTTTTTTAAAAAAAAAACATGAGTTGAGCAAGAGATTTTTTTGGTCAAGTATTTCACTAGAATTGCAATCTAAATTCAGTTTTTACTATTATTATGATCCATGACAATACTCATCTAATGCTGAGGGTTAGGCGAATTTGAAGATGAATTTGAGAGTGATTCTAGTCTGTCTTTAACCAAGAACATAT